CAGGAGGATTGCAAGTTCAAGGCCAGCCTCAGCAACTTAGTGAAGCCTTAAGCAACTTAGCGAGACCTTGTCTCAAAAACATAAAAAAAAAGCTGGGGATGTAGCTCTGTGGTTAAGTGCCCCTGGGTTCAGTTCCTGGTGCAAATCAAAAACAAACAAACAAAAAAATCCCCCAAATCTCTCTGAAGTAGGATGGTTCAGAGTAGCCTGATACTCGGTGGAGTTTGTGATTGGCATGGCTCTGGCCCTTCCCCCAGTTGGGGGGCAGGGTCAGTCCCTGAAGGTGTTTCATTTGTGGTGGGGCTTGTCTGGCAGCTCTGTGTGAGTGACATTGCAGAGTCTGCTGATGCTCAGGGTCTGTTGGCAGGCAGAAGACAGAGCTGCACCAGTCTAGCCAAGCTTTGATTTGAGTGAGCCAGTAGGTGTGGCTTCCACACTGGTGGTCTTCTCACAGGATGTTCTTGCCAAGTCCAGAGGTCACACTCTGGACTTTGAGGCATTGTGTATCCCTGGGGGAAAAAGCCCACACACTGGGTTTCCTCTGAGAGAATCTAGTCAGTGCTGCTGGCCACTGTGGCAGTCCTGAGAGTCTATAGGGTGCCATGGCAGAGCAGAGGTGGTGCCCTGTGAAAGTCAGGTCTTGGTGGAGAGGATTTTTCAGAGATGGATGGATTTTCCTGAGCGCCTAGAGCCCAGTGCTTTTGGGGATACACTTGGGCCACCTATGCCAGTGCAGGCTCGGGGATAAGCTCCCAGGAAATATATCACGGCCTCTTTTTTGCCTTCTTTGACTACAATTGATCTCTCTTGTATCCCCCACCCAGGGGGCTTAAACAGATTGCATGTGGTGTAGATGCATGCTTCTCTTCTAACAGAGTGCGGCCACCTTGGCATATATTAGAACACTGTTGAGATTGCTGTGTGTCCCATCTGTTCTTTTACTTGACTGCCAGGCCCTGTTTGGGGTCTTTTCACACAGCTCTCTTAGGAGAGGTACACACGTCTCAATAGTCTGGCATTTTTGATGGTTTCCTCTTCTGTGTTTCTGCCACGTAGGAATCAGAGTCAGAAGCAAAGGTAGATGGAGAGACTGCATCAGACAGTGAGAGCCGAGCGGAACCAGCTCCCCCGCCAACCTCCGTAGATGACACCCCAGAGGTCCTCAACAGAGCCCTTTCCAATTTGTCTTCAAGGTAATGTGGCTCAGTGAGGCAGGTATTTATGGGGTCTTTGTACTATGTTTAATATGCACTATGTTTAGTATGCCATGGAATACTTTAGGTCTTAGGATTTCTGGTTCAAGGTTTCGTTTTCTCTCTTTCATATACTTCCACTATGAACAGTTTCTTAAGTTCTCCAGGAAAAGGTGGGAAACATTTCAACTTATTTGAATCCTTGGGTAAAATTTTTGGCTCTTGAGAAGTTGGTCCTTCTAAAAACAGTTTTGTGAATAGATGAAAAACACAAATTATATGACCCCCAAAGTATTATCTAAAAGCATTCCTATGTAGGCCTGCCACCTTGTCCCTTGGAGAAGCTGTATTATGCAGTGGTTAAGGGCATGGAGCCTGGATCCAGACCCCTGGACTCTAGTCCTAGCCTCACCATTTGCTGGCTATGTGACCTGTTCCTCTCATTTCTTCAGTAAAATATGTATGAATATTATGTGTCAATTTAAAAAAAATACCATTTGGATTAAAATCTATTTTAAAATTGTAAAAAGCTAGTTGTGTTGAGGATTGAATTAATAATATATGTAAAATTCTTATAAAAATGCCTTGTGCAGGTTGAGCATGGTGACATACATCTGTTAATCTCAGCTACTGGGGAAGCTGAGTTGGGAGGGTCACAAGTTTAAGGTCAGCCTCAGCAACTTAGTGAGACTTTATCTCAAAAAATGAAAAGAGCTGAGTATGTAGTTCAATGGCAAAGCATCTCTGTTCAGTCCAAAGTACCAAAAAACCCAAAACAAAACAAAAAACCCAAGTTTATTAGTGTGTTTATTAGTCATAGCTGTTATTGTCTTTGCCTAATATTATTACCATCAGTGTGATAATACAGGGAAGTGCAGTGTGGAATTGTGGAATTCTGTTACAGGAAAATGCCCAGAGGTTTTTCTTTAGCTAGATGGCCATAGAAGTCATCCAAGTAGATGCAGAAGCTGTGGGCATTACATCTCTGTTTTTTGCCCGGTCTTTACTTCAGATGAAAGCTGGGCATATTTTCTGTAGGCCCTGGAGCACCTGCTGAGTTTGGTTGTGGGTGAGATGCATTGGTACTAATGCTCTGCTCCACCAGCCTGTGACAATGCCTGTCAAGGTAAAGGAGATAGCCTGACAATAGTTAAGCCCAGGGCCCACCAGACTCAGAAAGAGCCGTTTCCCTTAGGTTTGTGCTGTAATTCTTTCTGGGCTCCTAACTGGTGTTTTCTCCTTCCCCTGTTTCTCACCTAGATGGAAGAACTGGTGGGTGAGAGGCATCCTGTCTTTGGCCATGATTGCATTTTTCTTCATCATCATTTACCTGGGACCAATGGTTTTAATGATGATTGTAAGTGCCATTTGCATGTCATTTTAGTTTTACATTCTGTTTGTTCTACAGGATTATTGTCTTTAGTGTCAGATATTGGGTTGGCTCTGGAACTCAGTGAGGCTCCAGGCTCCTCAGAATACTTCTAAGCCTTAGACCATCTGTGACTTCTCATCTTTCAGTAGCTAACTGGAGGTTACTGGCATAGGCCAGTTATTTGTAGTTAAAGATGTTGCTTTGTTGTTTTTTTTTAAATTATTTTATTTTTATTTTTTTAACATTTATTTTTTAATTTTCAGTGGACACAACATCTTTATTTTATTTTTATGTGGTGCTGAGGATTAAACCCAGTGCCCCGCGCATGCCAGGCGAGCACGCTACCCCTTGAGCCCCCCAGCCCTCGCTTTGTTTTTAATATTGAATTTATTATTACAGTTTAACTGTGACCCTGGCTGTGTGTTTCTGTGATTCCTGGTTTTGTTTCCTGCTCTTCTGGAACCTTACTTGAGTGCTTAGAGCTTTTGTTAAAACGTCGAAGTCCACAGCGCTGCTCTTGGTCTTCCTGCTGTTATGGAAAGGGCCAGATGATGACAGTTGGCTGCTGAGCAGAGCAGTTGGGGTTTTTCAAATATTTATTACCAAAATCAAATGGGGACACAATTGTTTGAGTCCTGGGAGGTTCTAGAATAAAAAGTTAATTGAACATCAGCCATGTGAAGCTACTTCCTCTGACAGAGCATTGCCTTGTGGAATAGTGTTAAGGAGGAGGGGAGTAGGATCATCCTGGAAACTGAAGTTTTTATTTAGTGGTTTTGCTTAGGACCTGTGACCTGTTGTTTTTTGTTTCTGAAGATAATAAGAAGAGTGTTCTAATTCTTCTGTGTTTTGCAGGTAATGTGTGTTCAGATTAAGTGTTTCCATGAGATAATCACTATTGGCTACAATGTCTACCACTCCTATGACCTGCCCTGGTTCAGGACCCTCAGCTGGTAAGATCTCTGACCCAGAGGGCCCCTTACCTGATTTAGATGATGTGTTTTGTGGCATGTATTTACATTGGTGGTGGGACAGAATAGAGTGCCCGCCTTAGACTTGTACAAAACCTTTGAGCCTTTCACCGACCAAACTTTGTGGCTGTTTTGAGTCTTCAGTAGCTACTAGGAGTCTGGAATCTTCCTCAGAAGAAATCAGATGGCTGTCTGAGAGGATTTGCAGTGGTATTGGGGTTCCTAGACTTTAAGGACAGGGATAGTATTTGGCCCCTCCAGCTTTCTAGCTCAGTATATTTTTCATGCTGTAGCATCCCAGCATTTCCTTTGGGTCTTTGGGGTTGTCAGGTTGCATATATTGCTGTCTTGGGAACTTGGTTTCGCCATCACTAAAACAGATGGTTAAGACTCTTTCCTCAGTTGTTTTCAAATGGTGGGATTGGAGTCCTACTTCCTTGGAGGTACTCAGGGTGCTAGTATGAGCAGGATGAAACTGAAAGCACAGGATCTGGACTCTTCCAGAGAAACTCTGCTTTTTCCTTCTCTAGAAAAGGACTTGGCTGCTATAAAGCAAAAACAAAATAAAGAACTGTACTGCAGATGATATCTGAGACTCCTTTCTGATTAGAAACTTTGCTTTCTTGACCACACTCTTTTCAAGTGGTGACATTTGAGCAGAGCATCACATAGTTCTGAGAAGACTGATAGCAAACATAGACTCTTCTACCCCACTATGCTGGAACCCCAGTTTATTTGTGACTTAGTGGGCTGGTCAGTAGGGTTTTGTGCCCCAAAACTTGGTCATGACTGTGGGAGTTGATGTGCTCAGAATTAGGCTGGACATATCCTTCCATGATGTCTTCCTATCACCCAACAATACACACTGCCTCCCAGCCTCCAGATGAATCTGTGATTGCTCCCTGGCTTAGGATGTAGGTCTCCATCGTGGCAGTTAAGATGTAGGTCTCTGTTGTGGCTGTTCTATAGGAGGACAGCTGTATTTTGAATTTTGTTAATATACTCAGGAGGCCTAACCTCTAGCTGTGGTCACTTTCCAAAAGACTTTTTCATGAACAAAAAATAAACTAAATATGAGGGTTTTTTTTTTTTTTAATTTTAAGTTGTATATGGACTCAGTGCCTTTGTTTGTTTTTATGTGGTGCTAGGATTGAACCCAGCGCCTCACAATTGCGAGGCAAGTGCTCTACCACTGAGCTACAATTCCATCCCTAAATATGAGTTTTTGAATTTCACAATTTAAAAAAGAAGGAAAGAGAAAATGTCTCTTCCCTTCTCTCCCTTGAATCCTGAGGCTTGGGGTGGTTCTGCCTGGTCCCATACTCAGAATCATCATGGAAGCTACTACACGAGATATGAGCCATGACTTCTTGCCTCACAGAACTCCCTTGAAAGAGGATGTAAACAAGTGCAGAGTTAATCTAGTGAAAGCGTGTGTGTCAGAGCCAGGCTTCCAAGTGGGAGATGCCCCCAGATGGAGTATAACTAACTGCCTAGTGAAATGAGCAAAGCTAGACTACTTGCTTTAGAAATGAATGGAGAGGTAAATAGCTTGTTAGACCATGTAAGGTTTTATGAAGAAAATGGTGTTTGAGCAATGAATGAATAAATGAATAGGTGAAGAGGATGTTCCAGGTGAGGAAGGGGGAGGATGGACCTTTTTGATAGAAGAGGAATTTTTGTGTGGGTAGAGCAGGATAGAGTCTGGGGAGGCAGAGTGAGGCACGTTTTAGAGGATTCTCAGGTTAGATATGGGAATGCCACAAGAGGGGCAAAAACCAAACCCTAAGTTTGTGAAAAGGGAAAGTCAATAAAAGCTGCCACAAGTTTTTAGATGAACTGCTCACCTACAGTGATAGCAGAGAGCAGGGAACCGTAATCTGCTCGTCCCTCTGTGAGCTATCTCTGGGTCTCCAGGCAGATCGGGCTGCTGCTCTCTGTCCTTTCTTCCGTGCTTTCTGAGGGCTTCACTATAAAGGAGAGGCTGCATGTGCTCCTGCGGCACTGCCCTGTCTTCATTTCTAGGTACTTTCTACTGTGTGTAAACTATTTCTTCTATGGCGAGACAGTGACGGATTACTTCTTCACCCTGGTCCAGAGAGAGGAGCCTTTGCGGATTCTCAGTAAATACCATCGATTCATTTCTTTTACCCTCTATCTAACAGGTATGCATTAATTGCTTCACCAGTTCTTGTGTCTGTATTGTTTTCATCTGTCTGTGGAGAAGGAGTTGGGAAATTCTTTTTTTTCTTTTTAAATTATTTATATGTATATTTTTAGTGGTTGATGGACCTTTATTTTTTATTTATTTATTTATATAAGGTGCTGAGAATCAAACCCAGTGCCTCACACATGCTAGGCAAGCCCTCTACCCACCGAGCCACAACCCCAATCCCGAGTTGGGAAATTCTTGTTTAAAGTTTTATAACTGGGACTGTGCTGGGGAGCAAGCTGAGGTTGTACATTGAGCTGTTATAGCTCTATGAGAAATTGAGACCCAGGGATGGCCATGGCTGTCTGTCCCACCTGCTTGAGTATCAGCCTCCTTATGAGGACCAGTGGAGCATGTGTGGCCTTGTCTCAACTCTCTTGTTGGCTGAAATTCTGTAGTGTGACAAACAAAAATCATTCAGTCAGTGACTCTCTTTTAGGGAAGTCGTCATAGGAGCAACCTGGAGAAACATTGCAGTGTGGTAGAAGTTTCACTAGATTTACCTTTGAAAAGACTCCATAACCTCAGTGGGCAAGGAATTTAATCTTTCTTTTTCTCTTGTGACACTGGGGATTGAACCCAGGGCCTTGAACATGCTAGGCAAGTGCCCTTACCACTGAACTTACATCACTTTTTATTTTTTAGTTGTATTTATTTTTTGGTACCAGGGATTGAACCCAGGGATGCTTAGCTACTGGACTACATCCTCAGCCCCCACCTGAGTGTGTGTGTGTGTGTGTGTGTGTGTGTGTGTGTGTGTGTGTGGTTTGTTTGTTTTAATATTTGAAATAGGTCTTGCTGAGTTGCTTAAGGCCTCACTAAGTTACTAAGGCTGACCTTGAACGTGTTCTACCTCAGCCTTCTGGGGTGCTGGGTTTACAGGCATGCACCACCACGCCCAGCCTTTGTAATTTTTTGAGACAGGGTCTTGTTCAATTGCCAAGGATGGCTTTGAACTTGAGATTCTCTTGCCTCATCTCCCAAGTACCTGGAATTACAGTTGGCAATACAGTCTCAGTTACCTCTTCTGTGATCTAGAATTAAAACTGCAGGGCTATTGCAGTAGTTTTTCTGCTCTTGTCTTTGAAATTATGCATTGGTTAACTCCTGTGAAAAAATTAAAGGGCCATTTAACACAGCTAAATGAAATGACTAGAAGAAAGGTAAACATAGAGTGTGATTTATTTAACTCATTTCTCTTCCTCCAAACTAGGATTCTGCATGTTTGTACTGAGTCTGGTCAAGAAGCATTACCGACTGCAGTTCTACATGGTAAGGGGAGAGAGAGAGAGAGGGAGGGAGGGAGGGAGGAAGAAGGAGGGAGGAAGGGAGAGAAGGGAAGAGAGAGGGAGGGAGAAGGAGAGAGAAAATGAATTCTTGTTTTAATTGAAGAGCTGCAGAAACTCAACAGGTTTTTCATGCTTTCTGTGACATATCAAAATTCTGGAATGTGATCTATTCTGTATGTATCTGGAACCTTGAGACCATCTCTCTGAGTGCCCTAAGAGTTTAATAAATACTATGAAAAAAAAAGTACCCATAGGACTCACTATTGGGCTATCCAGTCCCTACTTTTTTTAGTATTGGGGATTGAATCTAGGGTGCTTTATTGCTGAGCTATATTTTTATTTTTCATTTTGAGACAGGGACTCACTAAATTGCTGAGGCTGTTTTCTAACTTGTGATCCTCATACCTTGGCCTCTTGAGGTGCTGGGATTTCAGGCATGCTCCGCTGTGCCCAGCCACTCCCTGCTTTTTTTTTTTAATATTTATTTTTTAGTTATAGGTGGACACAATACCTTTATTTTACTTTATGTGGTGCTGAGGATCAATCCCAGTGCCTCATGCATGCTAGGCAGGCACTCTACCTCTGAGCCACAACCCCACTCCCAGTACTTGCTTTTGATGGGACTCTTATTGGGAGGGACAAAGTGTTACTCTCAGCAGCTTGTTCTGTATTTTTTTACTTCCAGTAAGTCAGGTACAGAAGCAGATCTTTTTTCTGTTTGTCATCAGTTTTCTGTTCTTTAAAGTTATTTCTAAGGTAAACTTGATAGTTTTTCTTCTTTTGCAGTTTGGGTGGACCCATGTAACATTACTGATTGTTGTAACTCAGTCGCATCTCGTTATCCACAATCTGTTTGAAGGAATGATCTGGTGAGTGATGGCAGCAGGAAGCATTTTCCCTCTTATTTTTTGGGTGTTTCTTACATACACCTAGGCTGAGAACCCTGCCTTCCCTTCCAAGCCAGTAGTTCTCACCTTGAGCTATTCAGAATAGCCTTCAAGCTAGTTACAACACAGATGGCTGGTTCAGTAGATCTGGGGTAGGGCCTGAAATTTTGGATTTTCTAGTACATTCCCAGGTGATGCTGATGCTGCCGGTCAGTATTCTGTCCTAGACTAACAGGTACAGGGATATTTGATCAAAATTTATAACTGTACAGCAACCTGAAATTTGAAAACCTAGAGGGAATATTCAGGAGCTCCTAGAAAATTGTGAATTGCTAATAGTTATAAACAAACTTGAATATATCAGTGACTATAGAAGAGCTTTGAAAATTGTGTAAATTCAACACCTTGGAAGAAAGAAATGGGACCAATCAGGTTAATAGCTGAATGTTATCTAACATGCCAAAGCTGATGAGGAAGAAGCAAGAACCATCCTAAATAAAATATTAGCAGGTAGGATCTGGCAGTGTGTCAGAAGAACATTATACTGTTACTGAGTAGATTTAATTTTAGAAGCATAGTGGTTTTAACAGGAAATGTGTCAGCATTGATAGGAATCAGCAGAATGACTAAGAAGGTAGGTGATCTTAGTGGAAAGGTAAAGGCACATCTTCAGGTAATGAGAGACATGCTTAAGTATTGTGGGTCACATCCAGACTGCCTCTCTCAAATGTTAGAGTTAGAATGTAGTTACATTCACCTCCTGAGGAATTGACAAGTCAGTAAATCTAAAGAGATTAATTAGCTCATGTAAATGTTAGCTTTGGGCATTATTATATTTAAAAACAATTATAAAGGCCTGAGTAGGCACTATTTCCTTTTCAAATTTCAGTGTTCTTATTATGCATTTCTTTTTTTTAATATTTATTTTTTAGTTGGACACAATATCTTTATTTATTTATTTTTATGTGGTGCTGAGGATCGAACCTAGGGCTAGCACTCTACCACTGAGCCACAACCCCAGCCCCCTTATTATGCATTTCTTAAGAGTAGCATGTGCTAAGTCCTCAGATTCATGGCTAAACAAGTCAATTGAGTCTATAGTGACTAATATTAAATTCTCCAGTGAAGGCCGGGTGTGGTGGTGCACACTGTAATCCCAGTGGCTCATGAGGTGGAGGCAGGAGGATCGTGAGTTCAAAGCCAGCCTCAACAATTTAGTGAGGAACTAAGCAACTCAGTGAGACCCTGTCTCCAAATAAAATTCAAAATAGGACTGGGGATATGACTCAGTGTTTGAGTGCCCCTGAGTTCAATCCCCAGTACCGTCCCCACCCCAAAAAAGTTTCCAGCGAAGGTTTAATTATTGTTATAGTGCATTGTTATAGAGACTGTTCTACAAGCCTTGACAAAGTAAATAATGTGGAGTCTGGAAGATAGAGTGAGAAGGGTTCACACACTCCAAATTTCTCCCTCAAGCAGGAAGTTAGGGAATTGTGCCCACAGTTGCTGGGCCAGGAAATCAAGATTTAATTTCTATCATGTTAAATTAATAGAAAAACTTTAAAAAGTGTCTTGAGGGTGGAGAGTGAGGAAAGAGATGGTATGAGTATAAACACCACCTGTCTTCATGGTGGGGGTGATTGGTTTAGCAAGAGGAGGGCAAAGAAGAAATATAGGTGTGCATATTGAGGTTTTGTTCCAAGGGTAGTCCTAGGGAAAAGTAGGGCACACAAGTGCTAGAAATAAGCAGTGAAAAAAGTAAGTTAGCTACCAAATATATATATATTGTTTTAGAAATGTACAGGTAACTACTCAAAAAAAATTAGGTAAGAGTAAAAGTGGTTATTTTGGAGACTGGAGATAGGGATGGGGGGGAAGAAGGAAAAAAATTTTTCTCCTTTTACAATTTATATCTGTATTATGTGTATATATTACTGTATATTGAAAAAAGAATAGAATGACATTTATAGATACTCTCTATTTATTCAGCAGTCATTCAGTAAACATTTTAATGCCTGCTATGTGTCAAGTATTATGTATGGATTTTGGTGTTTACTTTCTTTGTATTTTATACCACAATAGGTTACAAATGCACTATCAGCTTTTTGGTTCTGGAATTTATCAATGGCATTGTTGGTGGACTACTGAGGTACTATCATCTTGGTAGAGTTGATTCTCACTTTGTTTTGTTTCCTAGGTTCATTGTCCCCATTTCTTGTGTGATCTGTAATGACATCATGGCCTATATGTTTGGCTTTTTCTTTGGTCGGACTCCACTCATCAAGGTAAACGATCACCCTAACATAAAATATCACCATGAGGGTAGGATGGTACTTTCTATATGAGTAGGTTAATGTGGCAGACAGAAGGAAATCTAGCTGGTGTGCACTGTGGCTGTGTAACCATGTGCCCCTGGGGGTAGACTGGTAGTAAATTAATTGTAAGGGAAAAGCCAAAAGAAAACATTGACAACTACTCATTAAAAAAAAAAAAAAAATAACGAAATGTTTCTATAGACTTAAAGCACACTCTCAGAGCTTTGATCTGATTTGTGTGTTGTGATTAAATTAGTACGTAGTTTAATAATAAGAATATTTGAAACAGAAAGGAAACTGAAGGATATAATTTAGGGAAAAAGGAAGCCATGTTTTGGAAATTTTAGAAGGTAATGTGGTTAAAAGAATAGGGTTTCTTTTTTTTTAAATTGATTTAAAAAAAAAATATAGCGGAATGCATTACAATTCTTATTACACAGATACAGCACAATTTTTCATATCTCTGGTTAAGAATAATGGTTTTATGACAGAGATATTTTTCACAAGTAATCTTTCTAAAGCCTGAGTCACTGACATCCTTTGCTAAGAATGTGCTCTCTGTCCACAGCTTTCTCCAAAGAAGACCTGGGAAGGCTTCATTGGGGGTTTCTTTGCTACTGTGGTGTTCGGCCTTCTGGTAGGTGGAGGTTCCTAGCCGGGTGGCAAAGAGGACAGAGGCCTCACTCCACACTTCAAAGGCCTGTGCAGGGCTGGGGAGTGTGTCTCACTAGACAAGGAACTCTGTCCTGCTGATTACCTTGCCCCAAAGAGATGCATGAGCATGGAACACTCTGTGAGGGGTACAGTAGTGCTGGCTGTTCTTTACCCACCAGTTTCCAGGCAGGGTTTTGGCAGTCGTGAGATAAGGAACCTTGTAAACCCTCTCATCCCTAGGCATGGTGATACTTCTCATCCCTAGGCATGGTGATACTTGAGCAGACAATGTTCTTGTCCAGGCATTTGGTATTTCAAGATCAGGGTGAGTGACACCCAAGAGTAAGGGCTGAGGTGAGATAAGCTTCTCCAGCCCTGAATTTTTCCTACTTATAACCTGCCAGAGGTAGATGATCTTTCAGCCCTTTCAAGGACACCACTTCCTGCCTCGGACCTTGAGGCCAGTCTCTCCCTTTTTTAATGTTGCCTGACTGTCCCTTAGTGCTGCTCTCTCCTGGCTTTATTACGTCTAGCCTTCTTTCTCCTGGCTGGCTGCTGTCATTGTACCATACTCCCATGACCTCCCTCCAGTTGTCATTGAGTTTAGAGATCCTGAGAAAAATAGATTAGAGCTCCCCCAAATGGGAAGAAATGTCTTGTAGTTAAATTCCTTTTCAGGGTCCATGTGTTTGGGCACATCTGAGTGAGACCTCAGTGAGCATAAACCTCTTTTATTAAAAAAATTCAGGTAAAATGCACATGTGGTAAAACATGAACCTCTGACTTTGTACATAGCTTGCAGAGAGCAGGATGGTGGACACGGAGGAACAAACGTGTCCAAGCCAGATGTCGGCCATCCTGATGAACGCAGCTCGTCTTCATGCCTGTGTCTCTCTCCCTCATTCTCAGCTGTCCTACGTGATGTCTGGGTACAGGTGCTTTGTCTGCCCTGTGGAGTACAACAACGACACCAACAGCTTCACTGTGGACTGTGAGCCCTCGGACCTGTTCCGCCTGCAGGAGTACAACATTCCTGGAGTGATCCAGTCAGTCATTGGCTGGGTATGTGCCACTCACAGGGGGTGAATGGGTGGGACATGACTGCAAAGAGGAGCCCCCTCCACCACCTACCCTCCAGAGCCACTAGCTTCGGGGTGAGGGCAGGAGACCTTTCTCTTCACTTTACATTTAGGGCAGTGGTTCTCAAAAAGTGTGTTTTGTGGGTTCCTTTAGAGGGATCCTTCAGGTACCAACTGTTTTCATAATATTACAATGAATTTATGTGCCTTTTCCACTCTGCTCACATTCTCTATGATGGTACAAAAACAGCAGGTGGGAAAACGGCCAGCGTCTAGGCGTGAGTTAAGGCAGCGGCACAAATAGGGCTGGCAGGCAGTAACCTCTTCATGCTACCCCCTTACAATGCAGACAAGCCAGTTGCTCTTACACCTTTGATGAAATGGTAAAATTGCTAATTTTATTAAAGTTTGACCTTGAGTGCACACGATTTTAATACTCTGCCGAAATGGAAAATGTGCATAAAACGTTCCCTGCTAAATATTGCTGTGTGCCTGAAGGAAAAGCATGTGCAGTTGTTTGGGTTGTGGAATGAACAATCTGTTTTTTTCTAGGAACATAATTTTTATTTGAAAAGAATATGGCAAAAATATCTTTTCAGATTGGGTATTTAGCAGACATTTTTCTGAGAAGGAACAAAATGAGCCTGTCACTCAAGGAAAATGACAGCAAATGCTAACCAATGATAGAACTTGGCTTCTAAGTGAAAGTTTGTATTTTGGAAACATGTACCTGCCACTGTAGGCATGACAGCCTCCTACTTCTTAAAGACTTTTCTGATGAGATCCATAGTGATTTTAGTAGGTGACATTTTGACATTGGATAATGAAATGTATCTACATTTGGAAGACTTATATAACTTAGCAAACCTGTATTTTCTAGATGGTCAATGTATGGTTCCACAGTCACACATGGGCAAAAGATTTCATTCAGAGTGTGAGATGGATGATGTGAGAGAGCACGAAAAATTAATCTGTAGGATTTCAGATTCCACATTGCATCCAATTTTTAAGAAACAGCCTCTGTCACATTCTGTTGTAGTGTTAATATGCATTATTATTTGAGAAGACTACTAAAATATGCTTCATTTTTGAACTGTGTAAGGCTGGATTTTCTTTATATACTTTCGCCAAAATATTGCAGCAGGTTGAATGCAGAATATTTTTGGGGGGATGGGGGGACTGGGAATTGAACCTCGGGGATGCTTTACATTTGAGCTATACCCCCAACCCTTTTTATTTATATTTTGAGATGTTCTTGCTAAATTGCTGAGGCTGGCCTTGAACTTAAGGTCCTCCTACCTTAGCCTCTTGTAGCTGGGATTATGGGCATGCACCACCATGACTGACCTGAATACAGAATATATTAATGTCTTCCATTAAGCCAGATGTTAGAAATTTATAACAATGTAAAGGAAAAAATCTACTCTTCTTCTTGATTTAAAAAAGTGTAATTAGTTTCATCAAGAGTTATTTCTCTTCACATGTAATAAGGCTGGATTTGTATGCATCTTGACTTTTATTTCACTTATTTTTTTCTAGAAAACAGTCCGGATGTATCCCTTCCAGATTCACAGTATTGCCCTCTCCACCTTTGCCTCACTCATCGGCCCCTTTGGCGGGTTCTTTGCAAGTGGATTCAAACGAGCCTTTAAAATCAAAGTAGGCAGAGGTTTCCTCTTTATTCCTTTCATCTCACTCTCCTTGCCCACCTTCTGCCTTCCTCCCCTCTTTCCTACCCCATCAGCCATCGACATAGCACCAGACTCTGGCACCCTGGTGATTAATACATGCTCTTCTTGACCCAGGTGCTGCATTCATGTGGGTTAAACAAAAGTATATTTTTTCTAAGAAAATTCTATAGTTGGTTTTCAGTTTGTTAATTTTGTTATCTCTTTAAAAGAACATTTTGTAATTTATTAAGCTTGTATTCTATAATTGCCTTATCATTTGATTTAGTTCTTTCTCTTGCCCTTGACTACCTAACACAGCAAGAGTTATTTCTCTTCACATGTAATAAGGCTGGATTTGTATGCATATTGACTTTTATTTCACTTACTTTTTCTAGAATAAAAAATTGGGGTGGAACATTGGGGTGGGACTGTCAGTCTCGTGTTTGGTTGTTGACTGAAGCCAGGCTTGCCTGTCCTTCTCTGCCTTAAACAGGACTTTGCCAATACCATTCCTGGCCATGGAGGCATCATGGATCGCTTTGACTGCCAGTACCTGATGGCCACCTTTGTCAATGTATACATTGCCAGTTTTATCAGGTATAGTGCCTTTCCATCTGAACCAAGTTGGCAGCTTTGTAAGTATGGTGCTTTTCTAGAATTTTGGCTACATCTAAGTTCCAGTGAAAAACCATCTCAAATATGAACTCAGTTTCAGTTGTCATTGTGCATGAGGCCCCATTCTGCCCTTAGAAGAGAATCTGCAGATCAAAGCAGTAGTTTGGATAATCAAGCCCTAGAAGCAGCTGGGCCCACTCAGGGCTGTTTCTTCATGTTCTGTTGCAGAGGCCCTAACCCAAGCAAATTGATTCAGCAGTTCCTGACCTTGCGACCAGATCAGCAGCTCCACATCTTCAACACGCTCAAGTCTCATCTGACTGACAAGGGGATTCTGACAGCCACCACAGAGGACGAGTAGGGGCCCCCCAGGGCCAGGAGAGCAGGAGCAGAACTGAGTGCAGGGCAGGTCTCCAAGACAAGCCCAGCTGCTGTGACTTAGACAATGACAAGCTTCAACTCACTGTCTTTTTTTTTTTTTTTTTTGGTTGGGGGGGAGGCAGGTTTTTTTTTTTAATTTGTGGGTTAAAAAAATATGTATATACTGTCTTTGTGTTTATGATTTGGATTGTGAGTAAACTGTAGTTGAGTTGGAAAGAAGTCATGAGGGCAAAACCATTTGGGTATATTAAACAGAAGAATTGAGCAACCCGGAAGACAGTGTTGCCCAGCTCAGGATGTGATCCCTGTCAAGCTGTTACTGGACCCAGTGAGAGTGGCATTCATCTGTGTGAACCCATTTAGGTGGCTCTCCCACTAGTGCTGGGCACACGGCTTGGACACCTGCTGTTCTTGACAGCATTCACTGGCTCTTCTCTACCAGTGCCTGCCTGGGAGCTGTGGAGGCTTGCCTTCTCCAGGCTGAAGGAATGCAGGCTTGTTGATCAGAGGAGCATTCTGTCCACACTGAAGCCCTGCAGAGGCTCAAAGAAGCTCTGCTTTATGTATGGTTTCACTTCATTTCAGACTGAAAGAAGGTTTTAGTTTTTATTTTTATTTTTGAAAGCATGAAAAATTATTTATGATAGTCTGGAAAAACCCCACACTGTAATATTTCAAGTGTATGCAGTAGAAGCACTGTAACTGAGCCCCCCTTCCCATGATTTAGGCTCCAGTGTCTCCTGGAGGACAGTCCGGTGAACTTTGTCTTTTCAGGGCTGAGGCCGTTGGCATTTGTGCTGTAGACTTGCTGCTGAGTCCTTCCTGGGGGCCCTCACTGGGGACCCTAACCGGAGGCAGGGAGAGAGGGCTTTTGGTTTGCACGCCCCTCGCTGAACACCATGTAGCTGCTGTGTTGTGTATATATTACTCTTGAGGCAAGTGTGTATCTATGTTTGTTCTAAAATACCCTTATTTCTTACCATGATTTCAATTATACCATGACTTGTTCATTGAATCCATAAAGTCCTGCTAAAAACTATGGCATAACTAACCTATGAGAGGCCTGGCTATTCTGAAGATTAAATGTATACTTTTTATATAATGTGACCAGTTTAAATGTAGTGTGTATTTTACTGGGGACCTTTTGTTGTAGTTACTGTTTGTGTAAACTGATTTATTTTTCCCCTTCCCTACTCATTAGGGTGAGATGGGCTTTGGGAAAATGATTAGTTCTTTGGCCAATGCACAGTCAAGCACAGGGGAGAGAACCTGGTGTACAGATGTGTTAAAATTATTCCATGGCATGGTTGCTTTCATTGCTAGTGACAGCAGGACTTGCTTCAGCACCTTGGTCTGGTTTGATTTATGCTGTGAGTAAACTACAGCTCTGAGTTGGAAAGTCACTGGGGTAAAACCATTGGGTTTTTAACACAAAGTATTGAAGAACCTGGAAGACGGTGTTGCCCCTTTTTGGAAGTCTGGTTGGTTCTGGCCCTAAGTGTGTGTGTGTGTGTGTGTTTTTAATGTTGGCCTTCCTGCCTCCTGAAGGCTCATAATCAGCCAGGTGACTGAAGCATCCACAGGGGACTCTAGAGCCCTCACAGAGTTTGAACTCACATATCTATGTGATCCCTCCTCGTGGGTGTGAAGCATCTGTTTTTCACTGAACTGTCATTTTAGTTTCAGCTTCATGGCTTTTCTTTTTTGGGCCCAAGGTCCCCTTAAGAACAAAACATGTTATGCTGGAGGTTTATATTCTGGCTGTGTGTCCCTGGGCAGGAAGCCTTACTCTAGGGTCCTCATTTTCTGAGCTTCTTCTATTACACTGTTCTGTGATTCCCCAGAGCAAGTTCTTATTACTCCTGGGCACCCGAAAAGGAAATGCTTTCAGGTATTTTCTAAATGCTTGTCCTCAGGATGTGTCAGTGTCTTAGCAACTAATCTTCAACAGAGATTAGGAGTGAAACTAGTTTTCTGATTGAAGAATGAACTTGGATCACCAAACTAGACATAGAAGGGTACCTCCTTTGTCTCTTGTGATCTCATTGTGGGCAAGTGGTGGGGTCCTTATGAACGGAGGGGGGAGAGGGTATCTCAGTGGGGGCCCAGGAGCAGGGACTCACTCTGAAACCAGGCTGCCTTTGGATGGGGGAGTCTGGGGCCAGCAGCTGAGGCTTACCCTCCTTTGTGGAAGTGGTCACTGACGGAGGATCCTGGGGAACTAAAGCTGGATACTCACTAGAGCTGTCAGCAAGAGGCTAGAGTGGCAGCTGGGGTTTTATTTTTTTTCTGATTTCCCTAAGTGCTTTCTAGTGGAGGAGGAATTTCCCAGTCAGGTGGAGAGGAGAGCAATGCCACCTTGTGTCTGTATGACAGTGTTTCTTTCTCCCACTTTCAGACAAGCTCCAGAGACTATTTTAACATGCTCCCAAGCAGATCCTAGTGACTTGCACAACCTGCTTTAGACCCATTTTTTTTTTTTGTCAGAAATAAAATGTGACTGGAACTGTGTGCCCTCCCTTGTCATGAATCCAGTATTTGTCACCTCCACGCTTAGTTAATGTGTGTCCCACTTGTTTATGTATTCATAAGTAGTATGTAGTCCTGATTCAGAGATTTTTGCTTTGTTTTGCCATTTGTATCCCATACCTTCCCAGCAGTCTTCTGAGGTAACCGAGAGAGCCACGAACACCTTCCCAGGAGAGAGCTTCCGCAGGGTAGTAAGGTGGAGTCGGGACTATCTCCATCTCACACTGTGAGCCCCACAGGACAAGGATGGCTGGTGCCTCAGCCAGCTCCACCTGAAATGTTACAGCATTCTCCCCCTGAGGCTCAGGAGGCCTGGCCCCTGCCAGGTTGGAGCTTCAGTCGCTGTTCGCTCACCCTGGTGAAATAAGGAGATGACCAACTAACCAGGGCTGACATGGAGGCCTGGGCCTGGGCATCCCTGGTGAGTTCCACTTGGGCTGCTCACCGTGCTTGTGGGGTTGTGAAGTTTCCCTATGCTGGTGTGCGCCACCCTCTTAAATGCTTCCAACACCGAAAAAGCACACAATTGTGTTTACTCCTGAAAGTGAAGCCTTGAAGACAGCTGGGCCTTATTGTGTTTATTCCTTTTTTGCCTGTTTCATATTTGGAACCATTTAGTAGCTATAGTGTCATCACATTTACAAAGTATTTATTCTTAATGTTGTATAGTTCTACAGTGGATGTGGGGGGTGAAGTGTACCTTTAAATTGTATACAGGTGAACTTTGACGTGGACTTTTAACCTATAACTTGATCTGTATTATTCAAGAAAATTCCAGAAAATATATTTTAAGGGAAACTACACAGACCCTGTGACTTGTGTGTAGGCTAGTTGTAGAATTGGCAGGGGGCTTATTTGAACGGATCTCCAAGTTCAGCTCCCCACCGCGGGTCTCAGTAAGCTCGCAGGTCCACCCGCTGTTGAGTGTAGGGTGGGGAGAAGGTGAAAAACTCATGGTGCAGAGCGTCCTTTGTAGGAAGACTGTAGCGTCCTCCCTGTGAAGCCAGCCCAGGTGGATGTCCAAGGGAAATTTCATCACTCTGCCAAATGTGGTATGTCACTGTCCCAATCTCTCCCTGTTCTAGTAATATCTTAGGTACCTTTGTCTTCTGTCTTTCAGAGGAACTCCACCTTGGCGTATGGTTGTGCACACTGTGCTTACATGTGGAAAAAGGGGTGAAGTGGGGGGGGGGGCGGTTCTTTTTTTTTTTTTTTGAATCCAGGGTTCCTTTTCTTCTCAGGTAAGGGTGGGGAAGATGTCCGGATGAACTTCATAGACACATCACAAGACAGTAAGCTGGTTATGGACTCTATACTTGTCTGGAACACAGGAATCCACAAAGGGCAGCAGGGTCTCACTGTCAGCAAATTCTTGGTCAGAACCTCATATTCCTTTTTTAATCATGGTCAAAACCAACTTCCTTTCCCCTTTATCTCTGTCCTCAGGGCTGCCCAGCTTCCAGTTTTTAAGGAGTTGAACAGCTGTGACTTCCTGACTCAGTTTGTGGGGTTGGATGGGGGCCTTATGGCACAGTCCATAGAGGGTGCTAGGGTTTGGATCCAGTAGTGATGAAGGGTCCTCATTTAAGGGCTCTGCTGGGCCTACTTCCCCTTGAGCCTGGGCCCTCCCAGTCCACATCCTTGGGAGGTGGCCCATCCTCACAGGCAGATGACTAGCCACTGTTTCCATTGGAGTGTGGCCCACCTTTCTGCCCCTTCCATTTCCCACACTCCTCACTTCAGGTTGACCATGGTGACGGCTCCTAGTCTCAAGTGGCTGTTCTCACCAGGGCTGCCCCCTTGATTGGGCAGAGCTCTTACTTTTTTGATGGAGATTGTATTTTCCAAGGCCAGACATTACCGTTTTGAGGGCAATTTAGGAGGAATATTTTGGATGCTAGAGTGGTAGGGTTTTAGGACATGTGGGTGAGTTATGAGAATAAAGGAGTAGGATATGTGAAGTCTAGGGCTTTATGGCCAGTGGGTTTCAAATCCACTTGTTGTTCAAAGACCCTGCTCCCACTCCTCTGCCAGTGCCTATTCTCTGCTTCTCCTTATTCTCTAGCTAACGTGACATTATCAGTGTATTTATTAATGATTGTAATCATACAGTGCTTAATATGTGCCAAGCACAGTGCAGAAGGTTTGCATACATTATTCCCTTGAAAACATAAACCAGCTTTGGATTAGGTTCCCATTTTGCAGATGCAGAAACTGAGGCTCTGTGAGGGAGGCTGAGAGCATTGGTTAAGACAGACTTCAGTCTGGGATAGCATGAGCTGTGGGCAGATTGCTAGTCTACTGTCAGCCTCCACCTCTCTGACCCAGTTGGAACTGAAATTGATCAGGAGGATTTAATGGGATAATGTGGGCTAACATTTAGCTCGGTGTCTGGCACATAGTAAGCACTCAATAAACAGTAATTTTTTTGAGCTCAGCTGGCAGTTTGACCCACACTGGTATAATGCCAGAGACTGGGTTCTTGGCTATCACACTGCCACTGCTCTGGACACAACCCGATGCTCACGGTTTGGAAAGTGACCACCCAGTCCTTCTGAGAGTAGTAGTCCAACTGTAGCACCCTACTTGAGCATCTTGGTGGTTTACACATTGTTTAGGAGGCACACCTGATCAAAGGAAAGAGGGCTTCAGGATGTTCAGAAATTCTCAGTTCTTAGCGGGAGTGGCTTGCTGAGAGTTGTCCGCTTGCTGTGTCCTTGGTCTGGACTGCCCATGGGGGAGAGGCCGTTTCCTCTTGCCTGGAGGTGCCTCTGCTCTGGACAGTGAGAGCTGTTTCTGACTCATTCTGGACTCCACTTCCTACCCTGGCTAAGCTCTGTGCACACAGCTCAGGAACCTGTAGTTTCCTGGATGGTTTCAGGGGCCAAGAAGAGTGAAGAAAACAAACTTGTGCCGAAGCAGGTTACGTCAGCTGGAAGCCTCGAAGCTCTGCCTGTATCCTTAAGCGGTAACAAGTTGGCCTTGTTTTTGTGTTTTCCTGAAGGCATTAGGATAGAGCAGGTGAGGACAGGTGGTGTGGATGGTTTCTCTTGGATTCTGGGTTAGCAAAGGATTCAGTGGCTTATTCATGAACGAAGGGAGAACAGGCACTGGATTAAGTGAAAAATGTTTCTTTAACTTAGTTTCTGAATGGAGATAGGGGAGTTGGGGGATGTGTTGAAGTGGAGGTGTCCTTACTCTGAAGGAATGATTCTGGCCAGTGGGATCCAGGGGATTCTTATGCCGGTTGAATGATCATGTAGAACTAATGGCTTCACTGGGGATTGTCTGTTGGGTTTGTAGTGAGCCCCTAAGGCCCATTGCTAGAATTTAAATATTGGTCTCTTCTCTTCAGTTCATGATTGAGGGTGATGATAATGACAGTGGTTGTGGAGGTTTTTAGTAAACAGCTACTGATCTGGGCTTGTCCTGGAGGCCCTCGTGCCTTTTCAGTATCCTACCCCTGACACTTCCTCCCTCCTTGTGCTATCTACCAGGCCCAGGCAGCCCTTTATCTGGAGAGGGTGGCTGGATACCCGGTGGACTGTCCTGCAGTGCTCTCTCAGGCACTGGGCAGGCCTCGCTCTCAGCACCTAGATGACTTCCCTTTTCTCCAAGTAAAATTGTGTTTGCTGGTGTGAGCCACACAGCCATCTCGTTCCTCAGTACTGGAACACCTTCTCACCTCCATTAGGTTCATGCACAGGTTCTGCTGGGTTTTCTCGGAAGAACACCAGTATACAAAAGAGGTTAAGAACGAAAGTGGGCATAACATGCAAGCATTTTGAGTGTCCTTTGTGTGTGGGTTCCTTTGAAATCCTCTGTACACAGAGCTAGGAGCTTTAGTAAGCCCTGTTTCTGCCCTACAGTGTGCTGGCTGGGTGTCTGGGGCTGATTACCAAGACAAAGAGCTGGGCAGACATTGGGCCGATGAAACCAAAGGACTTGGAAGCAGGAGAGATCAGGGACTTGGGGGCAGCAAATTGTTCTTGTCTAAGGGACTCCTGAGACACTGAGAGGGCAGAGCAGGGGCCTGGAGTTTTGCACGGAGGACAGACTCTTAACAGAGGCCAGCTGAGTACTGATAGGCCCCGGTGGCTTGTGGGTGTGGGGACCAGGAAACAACTCAGAAAACCCATCCATGGTGATTTGAAGCTCATGAATTATCTAGCACTGATACTGATACCAAATTTTAATATTTATTGATACTTAATACCTTCCAAAACAGGAGGGGTAGGTCAAAATGATAGAGGCAGGGTGGAGCACCTCCAGGGCAGATATTTGCTTCCCCCTTTGTATAGAGGGACCTGGGTGGCATTGAGTTGTCTTGCACTGGATAGGCTAGGTGTTGACAGTGTTCATGTCCTCAGACACTGCAGCCTGAAAGCAGCTCTTGGGTGCGTGGAGCCCGATAGGAGTTCTTTGGTCTCCCAGATAGGCATGTGCTTGTGCGCTCCTACTGTGCCCTTTACCCACCTTGATGTTTCACTAAATCAGTGTTTTTGCCACAGCTGATCTTTCTCTGTGCACTTCTGATTAGTGTTGAACAATACATGTAGGTTCTTTTTGAACAAAGTGTACGAACATGATATACTGTACATTGAAAAGTATTTACCTTATTTATATACCTGAGTGTTCCTACTACACAAATAAACATATATTAAATTCTAGGTTGCCTGTGGTTTTTGATGGGGGGAGTACATTTTGGAGGCCAAGGGTACAGCAGGGCCGTGCCGTCCTGGTGGGGATTACTTCCCAGTGCTGCTGACCCCTCTTTGCCTCTAGAGTCACCTCTGTCTATGGCCTTCAAGCCTGTACCCCTGGTGTTCTTCCTACCTTCTTGGTTGCTCCTCCTTAGCTCTCCTCCTCTCTGGGTGGCTCTTCTGCTGGCCATCTCTTAGCACTCTGCCCAAGCTTCCTTTCCCCACTGAATTCTCTCCTGGGTGTCCCTGTTTACTCTGAGGTTTCTGATTATCACACTTCCACAATGCCTGGGTCCCTGTCCCTAGCCCACGGGGGCCTGTGCAGCCTCTTCCTGTAGACCTTGCGTGCCAGACCCATGGCCTTGAACACATCTGCCCTAGATCCAGTGTTCTTTCACTCACCATCTGTTCTGCCAGGAGTGATCTCATTAGTAGCCAAGGCCTGCCCATTGTATCTTCTACATGTCCTTCAGATTCATGCCTCTGGGGAAATCCCCTTTCTCCTTCCAGAATTTCTGTGACAGTCTCCCTGCAGTATGGCCATCCCTACCAATCCTTCCCTTCCATCAGAGCTGGAATAAGCTTTCTCAGTTTGGGACCCCTTAAAATTCATACTCATTAATGCGGTTTCTAGGGCCTTCTACAAACTGGCTAGCACCAGACACATAGGCCCTGCCCTTGAACAACCCTGCATGGGGCTCACCCTTCATTATTCCAGGCGTGCTCTCATTTGCTGGGCTTAGCACCAGCCATTTCCTGCTTAATTTCTCCTCCCCAGCTCTCCCTCAGTCTGCCTAATTCCTGCTAACCTTGCAGGTCTCACCATCAGCAGCACTCCGAGAAGCCTTCTGTTCCTCTTCACCCTATGTTTCCTGCCTTGGGGATTTCTGGGGGTGGGGTGGGGGATCCCACGTCCAGTCCTGCCTCAATGGAAACCAAGCACGTCCCTCACTCTGCATCTTCCACCCTGGCCAGGGACCTGCTTGCTCACGGGTAGGAATACAGGGGAGGAATAAAGGCCCAGGGGCAAGGGATGGCCCAGGTCGCAGCTTTTCCGGGGCAGAACATGGCCAGAGGCAGACACATCACAAGCCGGTGTCCACTTTTGAAGAGTGTCTGGGATAAGAGGCAGCAGAATGGCTACGAGCAGGCAGATGTCCTGATAGCTCAGAAGCCCTGATTTTGCAGCTAACTGGGTGAGACTGGAGTCTTTCTCAGCAAGTTTTCTTATCTGTAAAACACAGACACCTAGCCAGGCGTGCTGGTGTACACCTCTAGTCCCAGCAACTCGGGAGGCTGAGGCGGGAGGATCACAAGTTCAAAGCCAGCCTTAGCAATTTAGCAAAGCCCTAAGCAAATTGGTGAGGCCCTATCTCAAAAAGTAAATAAATAAAATAAAATAAACAGGGATGCCTAAGCCCTCTCCAGTGGGGCTAGTGAGGGGATTCACTGTGGTGGATACATATAGCACCCCCACAACTGGGGGCAGCTGTTAGTAAGACTGGCATGGGCCCTTCAAGCCCTAAGGCCACACAGTTCTCAGGAGTTGAGACTAGAACCAGGCCTACAAGTCCAATCAGGCCAGGGGATGTGATCTTGAATCCAGCCCTGCAGGGGGAGAGTCCAGAGCACAAAGCCCTTGGTCCAGGCTGAGGATCTGGGGCCCCTGAGGGAGAAGCAAGGAGCAGGGCCAATAGTCCCCTCTGTCCTTTGTCCTTTCCTGCTCAGCAAATGAACCAGCCATTCCAGGGCTAGCGCCTCAGGCCTGTGGGACCTTTAGTTTGTTTGCCTCTTGGGACTGTTTTTACCTAGAGGTATTAGGATTTCCAGAATGAATTGCTTGCCAATGCTCAAGGTACAAAAATCACATTTACTTAACTTTCCTAAATCCAACAAAATCTGACTGCAAGCTACCAGTTTTCATAGTTGATGAGAAACAATGTTAGTCATTCTCCCACTTTGTTGTTGCATTACTGAGGATTGAACCCAGGAGCTTTTACCACTGAGCCACCTCCCCAGACCTTTTTTATATTTTATTTTGAGATGGGGTCTTGCTAAGTTGCTCAGGCTGGCAGCAAGTTTGTAAGCCTGCCTTAGCCTCCTGAGTAGCCAAAATTATAGGTGTGCACCACTGGACCTAGGCACCCCCATCCTGTTTTTGAACTATAGGTATTGAACTGAGGGCTTCATGCTTGCTAGGCAAGCACTCTGTCTCTGAACTCCACCCCCAGCCCTCTTTAAAATGAGATGAGGTCTTGTTAAGTTGCCCAGGTTGGCCTTGAACTTGCTAACCTCATGCCTTGGGGATTACTCTGGAATAGTTGGCACCATCATGCCTGGCTGTGACTCTCTTTCAGACTGGGTTCAGGTGGTGCCAGAGAAGTGGAGAACCATGTGGTGTCTACTCTTGCTGAAGGTTCACTCACCCAGGCCTGGGAGGTTGTCCATTCACTCTGAGGAGCCCTGTGCTATGGTATCAGGGGACCTGTGTGGTACCTGCATCTTATGGTCTTCCACCCCAGAACTCCCAAACGTGGGCCTTGATTTCCAGACATTCAACAAACACTTTTTGAGGTGCTACTCTGCCAGGCCCCATTTAGACACAGGATGCAGCCACAAATAAAGCCCCTGTCCCCATGAAGTTCATTTTAGGGGAAGACAGCAAACATGTTGAAAAGGTGATAAAGAAAAATGTAGGCAGGAGAGGGAAATGGAATGCTGGTGGGGAGAGGCTGTAATTTTAAATAGGGTGATCGGGGAAGGTCTTGCTGCCAAGGTGGTGTTTGGGCAAACACCTGAGGGATGTGGGGGAGGGAGTCATGTGGATACATGGGGAATGGTGTTTCAATCAGATCCACAGCAAGTCCCCAGGTAATTCCAGTGTGCAGCCAAGGCCAAGGAAAATCCTCTGACACCTCCACAGGTAGATGCCACCCTCTGCTGAAGCATCCTCTGAGGTGACCTGTTGTATTTTAACCGTGAGCCGTGGTGTGAATGATGTGTGCCTGTCAGTCTCTCTGCCCATTACTCATCCTGTCGTTTTGCATCTCGTAGACTGAATCTGATTCCCCTTTTGCATGACAAATGTCTGTAATGTTCTTCATGTGCCCCTGTTCTACCTCCAGCCACTTAGCCTTCTCATCCCAAGTTTCCCATTTTATTTTTTTCACTCTTCCTCACAAGAAATGACAACCCAGTCCCTTAGCTGTGCTGACCAGCATCTGCATGCGTGGGCTTATCCTTTTGGGGGTGCCTGTTGCTACCTGTAGTTGTGTGGGTGCATGCTCATTGCAAAGGGTGTGTACAGGATCCTATGGGCATTGAAGCCACTGCTCAACAGGTAGCTGCTCCAGCCCATAGTTGCAAGGGGACTCCTACTAATGTGGTAGTTATTATGGAGAGAAGCCAAGGAGAGATCTCTGTGAATGATAAACCTGTAGTGTCCTATACATGCCTCTGGTTGCCAGAGAATATCCCCTAAACCTGGGGAGCAATAGTTGGTAGCTTCCTGGAAATA